CATGTCTCATGGTCTACCAAATGCCTTGCGCCATACCCTATCCTATGCCCTACCTTATACGCCAATTCATAGCCTACTCCATCCCCTACTTTACCCTAGTCCTACTACCATATCCCCTACTTCATCTTAACCCTACTACCCCATCCCTGCTTTGACCCACCCTTACTACTCCATCCCCTAGTTTACCCTATTCCTACTATCCCATCCCCTACTTTACCTTACCCGCACTTCCCATTCCCTACTTTACTCTAGCCCTACTCCCACATCCCTACCTTAAACTAACCCTACTACAGCATCCCCTACTTCACCCTACCCCTACTACCCTATAACTACCTTACCCTAGCCCTACCCCCTAAAAACAACAATTTTCAACGAATTTTGCAGAAAACGGGCCAACCTTTTTCCAATTCATTTAGTTTTTCATTCAGTTCAACAGGCTGATTATATCAGAAATTGGTTTTTTAGGCCTTAATAAATTACGCCGCCTGAGGGGATTTGTGACATTTTTCGATGAACGAGTAATTAATGTCTTTAAACTGTTTGAAAAGCGATTTGGAACGTTTTTCGAGTGAAAAATTGACTAAACATGAAGTGGTAATGGCGTTGCAAAGCATTTGCTACCCAAGCTAGTTCTGCCCTACTCTGAAGAAAAAATTTCAGTTCTGCTTTGTCTTGCCTTGTCTTGCCTTGCTTTTCCTTTTCTTGCTTTGCCTTGCCAAGCCCAGAATAGCCCTTTTTGCCGTGCCCTGCTCTGCATTGCCCTTATCTGACCTGTCCTAGCCTTGCTTTGCCCTGTCTTGCCGTATTCTGTCCTGCCCAGCCCTACTTTGCTTTGTACTGCTCTGAAAAAAAATTTAACCCATCCTGCTCTGCCTTACGCTGCCCTGACAGACCCAATCCTACCTGGTTAACAAAAAACCTTTTTTTTATTTTTACCCTGTCCTTCCGAAAAACATTTTTAACCTCGTTCTGCTCTGCCTTACCCAACCCTGTTACATTTTAACATTCTTACATAAAATACCTCCACCCCTTCCTTAAAAAATAAAAAACCTTTTCTAAAAATGTCCTCCAGACTGCATAAACACCTTCCCCCCCCTCTCTTCTCTCCCCCCCCTCTTCCCTCCCCTTTTTCTCCTCCCGTTTCAACGTATGCCACTATTCATGAATCCACATGAGATCAAAAAAATATTAAAAATTCAACAAAGCGGCATTACTTCCAGTCCGAAAACCGGGATAATAAGGGCATGACAGGTGTGACACCACCACTCCCAACATTCCCTATTCGAAAAGTAAAAGCGGTTTTTTGAAGCGAAATTTATGGACATTTGAAGGAGGAATGGGGTATAACAATAGACGGAAATTAATGGTATTAGGAGGCAGAGAATAATGTTTGAAATTAAAAGTGTATTATAATGAAGTTTGGCTATTATAATAAGGTTTGTTTATTATAATAAGGTCTGAAATGCTAATAAATCTCAATTTTGTCGAACTTATTGAATAAAGAAAAGGCTGAAAATAGCAAAAAAAGCCAATTTTCTTAAAATTTTTTTACTAAAAAACTCAATTTTTTGAAAAAAAAAATCAAAATTGACTAACAGGGATACACATGAGTAGCAAACCGGCCTAATTTTTTTTTAACAGCCCGCGACCAGGGCCTAAGACTCAAGCCTGGCCCGATGAAATCTTGCTCAAGGTCGGCCTGATCCAAATTTTTTACGTGCAAACGGGCCGGGCCTTAATTTTCAAGCCCTGACCGAACTAAATTTCCGTCAAAGCCGGCTTGTCCCGTTCCTCATGCTTAAACAAGAAAAATACCCAACCCACCCCGCTCAGAACCAACTGAAAATTTTTATATGAATTCCTTGTACCACCAATAGTACCCATAAAAAATTTTAGCTCACGCTTTTGAGTTCTAAATTTTTAATATTTAAATTACCCGTCAATTTGGCAAATTTAGCATTGTGTTTCAAGCAGGGACGTTGCTACGATTTTTCTCTGGGGGGGGACCAAAAAAATTTTTTGGTTTACCTGTTGACCGATTTTTCAAAAAATTTTTTTTTCGTTTCTCTCTACGTCCCTGGTTTCAAGCACTTTTTTGACTTTCCAGACAAGCTAAGCTTACAAGTTAAAAATTTACGTCCATTTTTAAAAAGGTTTTCTACTAGTATATCAAAGAAACAAGATTAAAAGTCCAAAAATGACAAAGTTACAAGCTTGAAACACAATCTACAGTGTTACACAATGCCAATTTGGCGGGAACTTCAAAACGTAATTGTTTGATCTTGGTTTTTTGGAGTTGATTGAAAAAAACGATTTACTACTGTGCTGAAGATCTTGTTTTTACATGATCTTTCTATACAAAAAGTTTAAAGTCAATCAGAGCGGGGCAGGTCGGGTACTTTTTTAGTAAAAGTAAGACTTAAAGCAGCAAAAAAAGGCTAATTTTCTTGAAGTTTTTGACAAAAAACTTAATTTTTTTAAAATGACATACCAAAATTGACTAAAAATTAGAAAAAATCGAATGTCAGACATAAAAAACGCATTGACAGATATTTTACAACATATAAAACAATATAACTTCATAACGACGAACATTACACACAAACAATAAAATATTATGTTTTTCATATAATTATGTGCCCCTTAACCCAATAAAAAATTGCTTTGAAAGGAAGCACAGAATTATTTAAACAATCTAATAATATAAGACCATTCCCAATTTTTGTGCCATTTAGATAGCAAAAAATTAAGAAACCCCCAAACATAAATAAAACCTCTCAGAATTACCAATTCAGCCAAAAAAACTCCCGACCCAAACAAAAAAACTCCCGGCCCAGACAAAAAATTAGTTGGGCCCATCCACTCAAAGGGCATTTATTCATTTTCCGAGGAAAAATTACAGCTTTTGGTCACTAGCGCGACGAAAACATCATGCAAAACGAAGAGAGCGGTTAGAGAAAGTTTTTTGAGTTTTTAAAGAAGAGTTAGGGGGAGAGGAATTAAGAGGGGGGAGCTCACTCTACCGGTCACTTCACACACAAAAGAAAGTCGAGACTCTCGAACGATTTTGGAAAAAAATTTTAGGTGAAAGAGCCTATTCTACTATGAGAAAGTTTGGACTTCGAGTAATTTGGCCCAATTACATGCCCAAAAACATGTTAATGAGGGCTGTGGTGGTAAATGACCCTAGCTTTTTTAGTAGCAAAAAGCTATTTTTGGCAATTGACACGTTTTTTTTTAAAATAGCCCTGTGTTGTCTTGCTCTGCCCTGTCCTGTCCGGTCCTGCTCTGCTTTCTACTACCCCTGCCCTACTCTGCCTTGTTATTTCAATTTTCAGTTGGTACACTGGCCAAATTAGTCTTTAAAAATTTGGCGCGAAATTAAAAATTTTAATTTTAAAAGTGCAAATTAAAACTTGAAATTTTGCGTAGTTGCCATGCATGAAATTGTCAACCTATATCTAAAATGTAAGCAGAATCTGACATTTACATTAGTACTAGCCGCCCTTCCCTCCCCCCTAACCTTTAAAACCTACTACAACAACCTCAAAGAAGTAGAAGAAGAAAACAAATTCAAACCCAAAAATGCTTCAAATTATGGCTCGAAATTCTCGATTTTCTCGCGCGACATGTAATATAACATCAAAACTAAAACCCCAAGCCATCTTCGCAAATCTTTTGTTCTCGCGGCACACACTCGAGGCTCTCGACGAAATACGCAAATTTCGGCTTTTTGGAAGCGGAAATTTAATTAAAACTCAAGTGAATAAAAATGGGACAAAACCCGTTGATTTGAGTATCATAATCCCGTAATTAACAGCTTTAATTTTTGTTTGCATAAATAGAAGAAGATTTTAATGTAAAAGCGCTTGATTTTTCAAATTTTTGATAAAATAATGGAAAAACTAATTCTTAAGCCAAGATAAACTGACTAAAATATAAGAAATAAAAGGACACTAATCATACATACATAAAAAAACTAAAATGTTATAAAATATCACTAAAAATCTAAAGAAACAAATCAAAAAGTCATTTGGGCTGAGCCGGGGATCGATCCCGGGACCTCTCGCACCCTAAGCGAGAATCATACCACTAGACCACTCAGCCACACTCAAAAATTTTGGGAAATAAAGAGAGGAAACTTTTGAACAACAAAATAACTGGCATTTTTACATGGCAAAAGAGTTTTAAAGGTAAAATAACAAAGTTAAAATAACAACAACTTAATTTTTTCAAAATTTAGCCTTAAAAAACCCTCAGATTCCAGCAAAAATTGCTTTGAATTCGAGGAGAAAAATAAAAAGTTTTAAAAATGTTGTCATTTCGTTCAAAAAATATGTCGTAACTTTTCTCCGCTAGCGCTTGCTGGAACATTTTGGATAACAAATAACATCTTTTTTATCTGTAACTGAGTAGACGGTTGCAACCGCCGTTGAAGTTTTGCTATTTTCGAACAATAACCAGCAAGGTGTTCAAACAAGTGGACCAGGCTAAGAATAATCGTGGCCGAATGGAAGACGAGATTCAGTATTTGAAAGGTAAGTTGAATTTCTATGACGAACGTTATTGCGTTGAAGTTAACTTTGATGTTAACGATGAACTTGCTTTTTTAAGGCAATATTTTTTGGGAAACTCTATATCCTGGGACCTTTGTTGTTGAGGTTTTTCTTGATTGATTATGGATAACATTATTTTTATTCTTTTCTTAGTTTTCTTGATTGATTATGGATAACATTATTTTTATTCTTTTCTTAGTTTTTAGGTATCAATTTGGTGTTTTACAGCAAGTATTTGCTTTTCTCCAGTGTTTTTTTCATGGTGGTGAGTATGCTTTGTAATATCTGGTCTTAGTTTGTTAATTTTTCGACATTTTAGGCATCAAAGTTCATGATGGGCCAAAAATCTTCAGTTTTCTTCATCTGATATGAAGTAAGCTCAAGATAGTGAAATAGTTTTGGATGATGACGTGGATGTTTTTCAAGATAGTGAAATAGTTTTGGATGATGACGTGGATAGCTATGTTGTTGTTTATTCATCAGAACATAAAGGTGGACAACGTAGATTTGGCAATGAAAGTCCTTCAACTGGCCGACCGTTATGATATTCTACTTTTGAAGGTTTGTTATATTGTTTTGTGTTTTCAAGCTTTAGGATAGAAATTATTTTATCCTTCTGATGAAAATGAAAGAAAATATATTCTGATAACCGGACGATGACATTGATAATAAAAAATGTGGATGTTTTACCTAAAATTAGCTGTTTTTAGCTGCAATGCAAGCTGTTGTTGATGGAGGACGTTGATATTGAACGTGCTGAAGAATGCCAAGAATTGGCCAAGAAACTAAACATGGATGACTTGGCTTGCAAGTGTGCTGAAGTAATATACTACAATTATAAGCTGTTAGTTCAGACCCATCATCGCAAGATTAGTACCTATGGCATAAAAGTATCCAAAGAACTGGTTCTATCAGAATCAGGAGAAGTATGGACATTATCGGGTATAAAAGAAATTCGTATGGCAGGAGAAGGCAATTTTTTGCTTCGTATGAAGAACGACACGCCTGATAAGGCATTCTACAGCGTTTACGTGGAGAAGTTGAACTATAACCAGCATTATCCTGGCATTAATGGAGAACTAGATGATGGAGAGTCTACAGAGTACGTGGTTAATGTGAATGATCTCAAAACTTCCGGATATTGTGGTCCTCAAGGCGCACTGTCGGTGAAATTTTATGGTGATGGAATTGAATTAAAGGAAAGAATTTCCATTTTTAAGTAAATACGCGTAAATATTTTGTTACAATATTATGTTTAATATAAAACTATCTCCGACCCTTGTCATGAATACTATTAAATATTATTCGATCTTTAGGAGCTACGCTAGATATTATTTGGTTGTTCAAATAGTTCTGTGCCCAATAACCGCGAAAATTTGTTTGAGAAGGAGCACAGAATTATTTGAACGATAAATATATAGCTTATTGGCTTGATAACGATCTTAATTTACTGTTTATGTGTAAATCAGACTCTTATTGTAGGTAACATCTCTGCTATATTTAGTATACACTTTTCTGCTAATTTTATTTTGCAATTTATTTCGTTTAATTAGTATTTTATAGCGCAAATGTCTTTATTATCAATTGTTGAATGTAACCTTTTTTCTTTTAACGAACATCTATATATAATGTTATTACCTAATACATTTGTGATGTCAATGTCATTTTTAATTTGATGAAGATCAAAATGCTATTTGTCTCCTAATATTTTGTTTTTTTAATTGTTTGAAGAGTAATAAACTTGTTTCTGGTTATAACGCGTTTAAAAAAACTCTATATAATCGTTTCCAATTGGGGTCAAGTGGTCCTGTTTCTCGAGCTAACGAGTCGTGATGGTGCTCCTCAAGACTTCAGGTCGTAGTCGGAAGCCTGTGTAGGCTGAGCAACCGATTTGCCATAGTCCCCATGCAATTAGCACTACCCATTCGTTCACAAATTACAAAATGCGCCTGGATCAGACGTTGCCCTTTTCTATTGGTCAATAAATTTTGATATCATCCTTAATATATTGCTTCGCTGCGTATATTTTCACCTCTAACATACCTTTAAAATTACTGAAAAGAGGTATGACAGCTCCACAATTCATGAAAAACAATATAGTTACAATACAAAATAATTTATTTACAAGTATCAACAGTACAAGATTGTGAACGTTAAAAAATGTAAAAATATGTTAGTTATTTAAAATAGTAACTTCCAACAATGTAAGTAGATCAAAAACAACAATTACAAAAATCGCACTGACCTCCTCTTCGAAATAAGACTTTTGCGTAAAATGGCAGCGTCTTTTGCGACGGGTCCAACTTCATCTTTTGCCTGTTTACTCTAACAACATGCTTCACATCAGACTCCGCTTCAACCTCATAAACTCGGAAGTTAAAACCTTCAAATCCACAGCAAAACTTCACGTTGAAGTTGGTCTGATTATGCAAATGCAGCACAAATCTATCCGCGCCTTTCAAAGAAAAATTTCTCATGTTCCCTATCCTTTCATTGTCTTTGAAAAACACCTCCTTTACCATTCTCACATCATCTACGCTGTCCTTCTCTATGTTAATGTCCGATACTTCAAAGTTGGAGTAAGTGATTTCAAGACATTTGAAAGCCAAAACACCCATGTCCAGACTTTTGGCCAGTGTTTGACACTCTTCTGCACGATCCGACTGAATGTTCTGCATCAAAAAGAGTTCGCATTGCTCCTAAAATGAACATATATGACACGTGCATTTGTCTTGTGATTACCTAGTTCGGCAGAAAACGCCCGTCATTGTCTAAAACGGCTTTAGACAAGAATTCCGAATTTCTTGTTTGAAAAGATAGAAGAGACCATGCTCTCTCGCCGCGAAGAGAACAACGACTTTTTTTCTCTGCGCGCTTTCAGACAAGAATTCGCTGTTTTTGACTGACTAGCCAATCACAAAACTAATGCACGTGTCATATATTGTGAACGTGATGAAGAAGAATTAGGCTATGAAGAACCATAAAACCTTAAAAACTAGTCCTTAAACTTGAAAAAAATATAAAAAACTTCAAAAAACATACTCGTAGAAGCTTAATGTCGTATAGCTGAGCCAACTGGATCACTTTCATTGCCAGATCAATATCCTTAACCTTTTTGTTATGATGAATAAATAATAACATGGCTTTTACTGTATCTACATCATCGTGCAACTCAAGTTCACCATTTATAGCTTCTTTCATTCCCGATGTAAACATTGATGCAAAAACTGGAGACTTTTGAGCCATGCAACACTTTGATACCTAAAATAACAAAAAGTAAACTAATGGTAATTGAAAAGTCTTCTTTTACATCAAAAACAATATCTAAAGGAACGGAAAACACCCAACGGCAAAAGAACATAAGAAATACAATCAAAATCATACCTAAATTAACAAAAAACAAGACAAATTGACTTACATAGAAGGTTTCGGAGTAGCATTTCACTTTGAAATCGCAAAATAGGGGGTTGTTAAAGAGCTGAATGTGTTCTGAGTACTCCACAATCTCTGCTACTCGGTCTAAACAGTAATATTACATTAATATAAAAGATAACAAAGAAAATAAAAGATAATGTAAAACAAAGCAAATGAAAAACTTACCTTTCAGATAACATAGTCTTTCCTGAATCATACACTGATTTGATTTTACACTATTTTCTTTTTCAGAACCCATCTTGGTCGATTTTTGGTTAATATTCGTTGAAAATACCACGATCAGCGGCGAAACGCAAAGAACAAGTATTTTGTCGAAAAATGCGATAAATTACAGAAAAGTTGTCATTGTTTCTAAAAAAGATGTCATAACAAGTAAATTCTTCGTTTTAGTTTCAAATTATTAACATTTAATTTTAAATTAGCTATTTCTGAATCTGTTGTTGAAGAGATGATCCCATTTGATCAAAATTGGCCGAGATATCGTGACTCTTCATTCGCCACCTTCAACATGGGCAATATTACCCATAAGAACCTCTCATGGCGAATTCAAATTTATCTTACCATAAAAACCATGATTCCAAATCAGAATTTCACAGTCAAACCGAATTTCAAAGTCCCACAATTTAAAATTCAAACCTAAAACAGCTATGACCATAAATATTATAATTATTACCACAAACGTTAATGTAATGTTTATTTAAATATTAAAACTTTGTTAACAATAAAATTCGAACCGGTAATGAAGTAATATACAATAATATACAAAGTGGGATACCCGTTACAAATGGAGGAAGCAGTTTTCGTTTCGAAAAAGTTACAAAATAATGTTTTCGTTGTGGTACACAATAACCTGAGAGTTGTGTTACAGTAATCGTTAGGCAAGAAATCGTTAAAAAAAGCAAAAATAAAAATAAGATGTAAAAGTTGATAAGAAAGACTATTTAAGTAGTAATTTACAATATAATCGACAGTTTTCGCAATAAATTTTGGCATTTTTGGGTACGGTAAATCCTGGCACAAAAACTTGAATTATCAAATTATTAAAACAATAAAAATGCATCTTCAAAAGCATTTTAATCAAGAGTAGAACTTGAAAGCTTAATTTACTGTAGTTGTACGTCTAAAAATGCATTTTAGTGGGTCCTGGCACGAAAACATGAAATTTCTTAACAAGCGCCAAAAAAAGGACCACAAATAATTTTTAGTGTAATTTTAAAGCATTTTAAACTATTGAAGTTAAAGCTTAAGCTACAGTAGGCCAAACAATGAGGTTTAGGCCAGTTACCGTACCCTTTTACCAATTTAGACCCAAATACAGAATTTAGAACCCGAACAAAAGACAAAATATCAACAATATACACTCTCTAGACTAAAACATGATGGTATGGAAGGCTTTCTACCCTTGACGTATAGAATTTGTTGGCCTTTGCACTTTCAGCTAAGAGGTAGCCTTATGGTACATAAAGGCTATCTAGCCTGATAGTACTGTAAGACTAAAGTCGGCCTTATCATACTCTCATACAGATCACACAATCTCACTGGGCACAATAGTCCCGTACATATCACTGTAGATCTGTGTAGTCTCCGAATTATTGTCATTGTAGCACCCATCAGCACTACCGTAATCCCTCCTAGGCAACGCCCCTAATAGTAAACTCCAGAACAGTTGATGATGAAGTGGTATACAAGTGTTGTGCCTCATAATCTGACCCAATTCGTTGTCCACCGAGTTGGTATCGATGGTTTCGTCCAGGAGAACGATGACTTTTCGCTGTTCCTCGGCCTTTCGCTGTGCCGAACTGAACAACTGATGGCTAGTCCTGATTTGCAAGGTCGACCATTCGTTCTCCAAAAAATCTTTGGTCAGAACGAGGATCAGAGTTTGGCTAGCGCCCATTTGTTTGTTCAGTTCGTCGCTGATCCGTTGATGTCGGCTACTGTAGGTGTCTGGTTGAGAGTCGTCGTGAAGAAAGCACATTGAGTAGTCGTGAGCGTGAAGTGTGCTAAAATTAGTTGTAAGTACTTTATTAAAGATAGGCAACTAAAAAAGTATAAAAAATTGGATTTGAAAGAAAGATTTTTAGGTCCCACCACGAAAACCCTGTGTTTCATTTTTTCAAATGACAAGCTTAAAAATTCGTTTAAAAATTCAACATTAAAGCCATAATTAATAAAAATTGTTTTTTTTAACTTTTGCAAATATTTTGAGTCCCACCACGAAAACCCTGATTTTCAATAAACCTTTTTAAATCATTAAAAGCGGGTTTAAATCACCAAAATTAGTATTAAATATAAAATTATATTATATATTAGCTCAAAAATCGGTATTCAGCTATATTTACAATCAAGATATCTATAAATCAGATATAAAACTCACTTTTACTTCCAAAGTAACCTAACTTTACTTATAAAACATTAAAATAACTTACTTGCAAAGCCTTTCCTTAACAAACTGTTCATCCCTTTTCGAGTAACTGATGAACAAATCGAAAGTGATCAAAGGCTGAGGTGAGAATCCACCGTGCGGTGTCAACGTGCTACTGTTCATGCTGATCGGTGCCTTCTTGTACCTATGTTGGTCCTTCTTCAGGAGTGCTACAGCCATGTACATGATACCACATAACGCCATAGCAATAAAAATGACAGTCAATACGATCAAGAACAAATTGTAGAACACACCACCGCCAAAGATACCATGATGAGTCTTCCGGCACATGGTGGTATTGGCAGTGGATAAGAATGTCATCATGGGCATGACATACAGATCCTCCCCCACGTTAGGCGCATGGCTCGATAGGGCGTGAGTTTCGTTGTTCAGGAAGGCATTGGTGACATTCTCAACACACAGTACCGTACTCAAATCCTCGATAATGTTCGTATGTTGTTGAACATACGATTGGGCATTGTATGTTACAGTATCCGGGCTACAGTCGCATTTAAATGGGTTTTGGCCCAACTGGATTCCTTTTAGTCGTTCCGGCACTATTGCAAGTACCAGTTCGGGTATGGAAGTGAAGGAGTTGGAGTGTAAATAAAGTTGTTTCAGGTTTGGGAATGTTTCTAAAAGGTCTTTAGACAAGTGGTGGAGATGGTTGTGAGAAAGATCTAGGTGCTCCACCCGACCGGTCTTTAGGGCAATCTTTGGCTCCAGCTTGTGAAGATTGTTGTGGGTTAAGGCAAGGGTCTAAAAATTTGAATATTAGGTGTGTTTTGAATACCCTACCCTACCATACCCTACCCTACCGTACCCTACCCTACCCTACCATACTCTACCCTACCCTACTCTACGCTACCACTACCCTACCTATTTATAATTCCTTACTTTGCTTTACCTAAACCTATCAGAAAGATTGTCCCTAGCCTGCCTTACCTCATGTTTATATTATCTTACCTTGCCATTACCGATGATAGTCCTACCTTACCCCCACCTACCCTGCCATATCTGTCTTTAATTCCACTGAAGCCTATTACCTCTACTTCAGCCTGCCCTAACCTATCCAACCTTACCCTACTCTTGTCTTATTCAAGTCTCACCACTATTTCATTCTACCCTGTCTTATTTTATAGTACCCCACATCAACAAACCTCACCTTCAAACTAGGCAATGTATTAAACGCCAATGACTGAATCTCCCTCAATCCAGTGTTATTGATCCTCAACTCTTGTAGATGAGCTCGGCCAGTCAAGTCTCTGCTTTTCAGAGTATGCAGCTCCAGTCCATTCAGTCTAATATGCGTAGCATGCATTGGCAACTCTCTTATCTCCAACTTGACTTGTTTTGTCGCATTCGCTTGACAATTCACAATGTTGGTCCTGAAGTCGGCATCATGGAAACAGTCACAGCCCTTAGGGCATTTAGATTTACAGTCACAGGATGAGAATTGGCAACAAACACAATTGGGCTCACAGATCTCGTCGTAGCCACAGACAAAGTCGTCTGGTTTTGTGTTGGACAAGAGCTTCTTGGCCTGAAAAATTGAATTTTTAAAAAATTTTAAAATTTAAAAAAAATTTAAAATTAGAAAAATTATTTTTTTTTCAATTTTATGTCTTTTCAACCCAAAAAAATCAAATTCCGCTTCAAAATCCTCACCTGACTAGCCTGAACCACGCACTCAATCTTCTTATAGTCCATCAACTGAACAGGAGAAGAACTCTTAGGCTCAGCACTCCTCCACCAGCCAGTCTCACAGTTACATTCTAGTAGATTGCCACTCAAGTACAGCTTCAGAAGGCCAGCATTCAATGGGAAACTTTGTTGATTAAACGACTTTAGCTGATTTCGTCTCAAATCAACTTGTTTTAGGTGAGGTTGACGAGAAAAGGTGTTGTTGTTCAAGTTGGACAGTCGATTTGAACTCATGTTCAGAAACTCCAACTCATTTGGAAGCTGATCTGTTAGGAGTACTGTAATTTCATTGTTTTGGAGGTCTAGTTTGCGGACTTTTGACTTTGTAGCGGCTGATAAGAGAGCGATTCGATTGTCTGATACCTAAAATGAGGTGGTTTTTAGTGGGAAAAACCAGTTATAACGAAATTGAAGTCGTGACACATAGTTTTTAATATTCAAGATACAAATATTACCTAAAATTACATTTTTCATTCCTTTTTCATATTCAAGACGCCCCCAAATCTATCCCTACTTACTTGACCCTAATCTACCCTACCCCCTTTGACCTACCCATCTATGTCCTAACCCTAACAATAAAATTTGACGCTTAAAATCGATTTTCTAAACATTATAGGGCACAAAACTATGTAAGCAAACAAAAAATATGATCCTACCTGAAGCTGTACCAGATTCTCTGGCAGTTCATTCCAATCCAACAAACTGAACAAGTTACTGTTTAAATTCAGATTCCTCAATGACTTCAAGCTTTTGACTGATCCTCTCAGCTCTGTCAGTTCATTCTGTGACAGATCCAATGTCCTCAACATTGGGTTCTTATTAAAACTGTCCAAATTCAGTAGATCAATCTTGTTGTTCTTCAAGTTCAGCTCGTTTAGCTTGGAACAGTCCGAGAAAACGTAGTTCTCGATCGAATTCAGTTGATTGTGGGCCAACGAGAGCTTGGCCAAGTGTGCCATTTTGTTTAACACAAACTTGTAGGTTTTTCGAATGAGATTTGAGTCGAAATACAAATGTCTGACTGACTTCAGGCGCCCCACGGCCATTGGCAACTCGGACAACTTGTTGTCGCTCATGTCCAGGTATTGCAACTTTTCGGCCAATGGTTTGAAAACTTCGACATCGATGTGGTAGATGGAGTTGTTGACTATCTTTAGGTCGACCAGTTCTGACAAGCCTTCAAAGACGCCTTCAGGTAAGGATTTTAGATGATTGTTGGAGAGGTCGAGCTGAAATTTTAAAATTTAATTTTTTGAAATTTGAAAATTTGCTTTAATTTTTTAAGTACATATATCAGAATGACACGTATTCTACAAAAATTTTTTTAATTTCTAAAAAAAATTTTATTTTTGAAATTTTAGAAAAAACATGCCATTCTTTATCGTAACATCCATAAAAGCTTGCGTAATTTTGTGGCAATTATGGCCATAAAAGGGGCATGTGTTCCGCCGATTTACTGACCTCCGTATTTTACGACCGGTCGATGTTTACAATCGCTAAACTTTCATTTTTCCCAATTTTAGGTAACAAAAATCATTTTCTAAACAAATTTTACTAACTAAAATGCCTTTTTATCAAATCTCTTTGATTTTTAGGTAGCAAATTACCCCACCACGCCAATAAAATACATTTTTCTTTCCAACCTACCATCTGAAGTCTACTGTAATTTCCAAAAGCTCCAATCTCAAGGCTATTCAATTCGTTGCCACTTAGAACCAAGGTCTTCAAAGTGTCAACCGACCGGTCGAATATTGGTGTAGGCAAAGTTGTGAATCGATTGTAGCTAAAGTCCAGGATCTCAATCACTTGACTGAACAATAAGAATGGCGTTTTCATGTCAATTTCGTTGTGTGACAAGTTCAGTGATACCAAATTCTCCAGGTTTGCTACAGTAACCGGAATAGTCTCTAGTCGATTGTCAGCCAAATTTAGGTATAGTAGGGATTCTGAATTTTGAAAGTATTAAAAAAAAGTAAAAAAAAGTTTTTTAAATTTAAATCTTTAATTTTTTTTGTGTAAAATGCCATTTTAAAATATAAGAATTTAAAGAAACACGTAGAAGAAACCGTATTTTACTCAAAATAAGCTCCACTTATTATTTCTAATACAAAAATTACCATAAAATACTTTAAAATAACTAATTTTGGACATTTTCTTCAACCGGATTCGAACCCTGACAAAATAATCAAGCGCACCGTTGCTTAACTTGCCAGATCGGACGAGAACGCGTTTTTACACTGTTCTACAAAAGCCCTCTCTTGTATTCTCGGTCAATTTTAATTCCGCTGTCTTTTTGTCTTATTGGATTTTGTGGATCAGAAGTAAAACGCGGTCTCGTCCGAACTGGCAAGTTAAGCAACAGTGCGCTTGATTATTTCGGTCCGGTTGATCAAAATAGATAAAAACGTAAATAAAATAGTGCTTTTTGAATTGAAAATAGTAAAAGAAGTTTAAAAATGTAAAATACGATGAAATAAGCAGTATAAAAAAGTTCTTAAGTGAAAATTAATAAAATTAAAAATTTTGCCAAAAAATCAAAATACAAAAAAAACTTTTAAAAACTTCCCAAAACATTAGTCTCATTCGAAAATCCCCAAAAACATTTTAAAATAACCAAAAATCATACCTGGTAAAACTGGAAGTGTTTTAATCAAATTCCCTTCCAAGTCCAAATGTTGCAGCAACTTCGTGAATGAAAAGGCATCAGCAGCAATCTCATCAAGTCCATTCTGTACAGCACTCAGTTGTCGTATCACTGGGAAGGCAATAAGATCTTTTGAGTCGATTTGACGAATCTGGTTCTTAGATACATCAAGTAGTATCAGATGCTCTAGTGGACAATCATCGTCAAGGCCTAGCTTGATATCGGATAGTTTGTTGCCTGATACTGATAATATCTGAAAGGAATTTAAATTTAGCTTCAAAACTTAGAAATTAATTTTTTTGAACTTCAAAATTTAAAAAAATTTTAATAAGCCTAAATTGCGTTTCCGTTGAAATTACTGGAATTTGCGTCGCGTTTTAATAAGTTTTATCCCTCCGGCTTCTACGTTCATTAGACTAAATTGGAATTTTTGCAATGTCCCAACCTACTCGTATTTTTCATTTTGCACTTAAAAACTGCCATTTTTAAATTACTAAACGTATATAAAGTCAATTTTTCTAACATAGAAACTATCAAAACCGATTTTTTTTTAATTTTAAAACAAAAAAAAACTTTTAAAAATCCTCCTTAAAAAAAACAAAATTCGTATTTTACCAACTCCCACCCTATTACCTGTAAATTTTTGAGTCCACATAACATTCCTTCTGGCATGTCCTTGATTTCGCCATCTATCAATGACAACTTATCAATTGTTTTGACATCATTGAAGACGTTTTTGTCAAACTTCGTGGCTCCAAAGTCACTAATATGAAGGTTTTTTAGGCTTTGAAGTCCAGAAAATGAGTCAGAAGTCAGTTCTTCAAAATTGCAGTTCTGAAATTTTTTAAAATTAGTGTGTTTTAAGGTCTAGCGGACCTTGCAAATTTACTTTTTGTTAAAACTTGTTAAAGAACTTGGCTAGAAAAAGCAAACATTTAAGAAAATATTAGGTTTTTGATATCATACTGATACAAAATAGATGTTTTTGACCTTAACATAACTTCAAACCTTTTCGAAAAACCACAGACAGCTTCGTATTTTACTCATTTTCATTTGCAAACCCAAGAAATTTCAAAAAATTTAAAACCCTTACCGATATCCTAAGCTCCTTCAACTCTCCAAAACCTTCAAAAGCCCCAGCTAACAACTGGCTCTTCGACCGGTCGTTACAATTGATACTCAGAGACTTGGTCGCGTTTCTAGGAAACTTTTCCAAATATTCATTCTGTATCGTCGGCCATTTGCATGATATTATCAGTAGCTCCACGTCGAGTACATCTGGTACACAGAGGCAGCTAAAATGAAATTATTTATTTCCAAACAAAATAAAAAAAAAACCGTATTTTACATAAAAGTTAAATTTAGTTTGATTTTTAATGCAATCCAGAGTGTTTACAATATTGTTTTAAGTAATTTTTCGCAAAAATAAGATTTTTTTGTGTTTTAATGCCATTTCTAAATACACTTAAATTAGAAAGCCCGTATTTTACATTTTCTAGACTATTTTTACCCTTTGAAATACAAAACCTACAATGTCCGTTTTATTTTCACTTGTTTTAATCAACTGGATTCGAACCTAGCCAAAGTAATCAAGCGCACCGTTGCTTAACTTGCCAGTTCGGACGAGACCGCGTTTTACTTCTGATCCACAAAATCCAATAAGACAAAAAGACAGCGGAATCAAAATTGGCCGAGAAAACAAGAGAAGGCTTTTGTAGAACAGTGAGAAAATGCGTTCTCGTCCGATCTGGCAAGTTAAGCAACTGTGCGCTTGATTATTTCGGTGTGGTTCGAATCCGGTTGAAGAAAAAGACCAAATTTAGTTGTTTTTAAGTATTTTAAAATTGTTGTTGTGTTGAAAATAATATGTAAAGCTTATTTTAAGTACGTATATAGAGTGAAATATATTTTTATTAAAAAACTTTTAAAAAAATTTTAATGTTATTTTTCATTTCATTTATGTGTAATATCGCGTCTTTAATATTTTCTCCAACACCGCGCAATTCTCAAGTGCACTCGGAGCGTTTTCTTTATGTGAGAAAATTCGAGGAACACTTGGTCTTTATTGCATAACCTAATCTTATGGGATTATAACGGCTAGCCTACAGCTGAATATAATAGAATAATAAAATAAAGGGGTAATAAGAAGCTATTGCATGAAAATAAGAAGCTGCCGAAGGATCATAAAAAGCTGTTTAACGTAAGATTAGGACGATATGAAAGATGATATTCCAGTTTTGAGGTAAAGACTAGCTGCGAAGCTTAAAAAATGCTCATTTTTGGTCATTTACTGGAATTTAAATTGCTGTAACTTCTTTTAAAAAGTACTGTAGGTTACTGTAAGTTGTCTTGAAATTAAAAAAAGAATTTGGTACACCCAAGAAAGTCAAGTTTTCCAAACTTTTTCCCAACTAAACCCCCAAAAACGAGCGAAAACTCCTCCAGTCTGCCCTATAATTAGCCGAATCTCCGTCAAATTAGCATAAAACAAAAAGAGTTGCATAATACACACCTCTGACCTATTAGACCTTATAATGGGTTAATTTGGTGTCTCCAAACACCGGTGCCGACAAGTTCTTCTGCGCGTATTACAACGGTGGTCGCAAAAATGTCAGCGGCGCCGGCTTCCAAAAGCACTGGTAATGAAATTACAAGTCGATGAACGCTGATAACATAGGTCATTGGCAACTGTTTTTTGGGCCGTAAATTTGAAAATTAAAAAAAACGACCATTTTTATGAAAAAGAAGGCCTAAGCACTTTAAAATATGATTCTATCGGCATTAAAAGGCGATTTTTAGGCCTAAAATGCCTTAAGGGAAAATAAAATTCAATTTTTGTTTACAGTTTTTGAAAACCAATTTTAGTAATACTAACGCCATACAACGTATTTTACATTTCCTTTTCCCTAGTTCGCCCCATTTTACATTCCATTATGTTATAGTCTCGCGTTCTCGATATTACTCAAGATATTAAGTCAAGGTCGAACTGAACAAAAAAAGGAACCCTAACATAAGACAATAGAACCTTTTAGAGCCACAGAAATGTTTCCAAGATTAACGAAAAGGCACCGGGAATTGAGAAACGGAGAAAGATTCTTATGTTATACTACACTTTTTGGTAAGATGACCACTATTTAGCCTTGTAATAGTATGTCTAGTGCCATTTTAGCTTATAGAGCTTTTAGTGATATGTGGCTAAGACATTAGTTTAGCTAATTCAAACATAAAATTTTTAAAAATTAATTTTATTTTATAGTACAAAACAATTTCGATATTACACTTGGTACCTGCTGAACAGGCCAAACTTTTTTAAGCATTTTAAGAAACCTAATGATAATATGGCAAAATCCTTTTAAAATGAGGTTACCATTACACAGTTACACCTACTCTAAACGTTTTGTTCAAAAATATTGTCAATTCGGCCAGATATGAGCTTCTGATATTATACAAGACAGCTGGTGGTTTCAGCATTCTTTGAGCCATATTTTTAAAACTATAATGCCTTAGGCTAATTCCTGTCAAAATTAAAATAATTATGCTTATTTTTAACTACTCTTAGAATTTTATGCCAAAATATTGTCAACTTTGCCAGATATGAAGCTACAATCTTAACCTAGGCACCTCAACCTAAAGCAATATTTTAGATCAGACTTTTCACTTTTATGTTCAAATCTTTAAAATCCAAGTCCAAATAGGCAAATTACGCAGACAGTCGTTAATTTATTCAAAATCCGGTCAATTTGTTTGACTAAACATTTCATGCGCATCTCACGCTGCGTTCCCTATATTATAATAGAGAGCTGGGAACTTTGAACAGATTGGAGACGGACAAAGAGACGGATTACATCACAACAACCACTTGGTTCTGTTATATGTTTCATGCGACTTCAGTGGTATATTACACTTGAAACTTGAAGTTTTTTGTGTTATGTTACATTAGTTTGGCACTAGTGTCAAAGCTTAAAACTAGGGTCATTATCGTATTATAATAGACTTCAAGTGCAATGGCAAGTAATATAATATTCCAAAGTAAATTCCATAAAAAGTTACTGTAAGATAGCTACGCAGAGATGTATATGCCTCTCCCCATAACCTAGTATATCCAATTTCCCGCCATTTCCATACCAAATTAGGCGTTTCGCTAATTTATGCGTTAAATTGTCAGAAAATTCGACGAAATTAATAGGCATTAACGGTTGATTTCGGCTCAAACCGACCGTGAAATCCACCTGTTCGTCTCCGAACCGATGAGTATATAGACAACAGATACTAAGGCATACAGACAACAGATACCAAGGCATTTATTAGGGGCAAACTATTGTAGAAGTCTATTGTTTTTGAGGTAAAAAGTTTCGATTTGGCTAAAAATTTGGAAAAAATTGCAAACATTTTTGCAAAAAATCAAGAAAAACAGCCATTTTTAAATGCGGTATCAAAAACAATTGTAGTTCACAGTAAATACTAGGCTTTTTGTAATAGAAAAAAAGTAAAATACGTAAAATTTTTAATTAAAAAAATGGCAAAAACTTAATTTTTTTTCGCCTAGCTCTAGCCAAAAAACCCTAAAACTTTACGTTTTTTTGCACTAAATGCCATTTTTAAACGTACTACATATAGTTATGTTGTTTTAGCTAACCTAATAATATATTATACTCATTTTCCAACCTTTTTCAAACATTCACTCCCACCAGTAACATTAAAAATGGCCTCAAATTTGAATGAAATCAAAGCCCACTCAAGCCATTCGCTCTTGATGTTCGGCCTTTGATTTGTCAATTGGGGGTCTAGTCGTTTTTCAAGTGACTCGCCTGATTTGCATAAAAATAGGCGGCATGCCTTCAAAAACGGGTAATTGAGAGTGGATTTAGTTGGCCCGGATTTGCATGAATCCGAATTCAAAAGGCTTGCGCAACATAGACATTACACTTATAGGCCTTGCAAAGGTAGCGTAAGATGGGATTAGACGTGTTGCTACTGTGATTTATAACTTTAAAAGGGACTTATAGGTTGGATACTGTAATTTACTGTTCTACGTATGTTATTTGTATTAAAACATTGAGGTTTGCGTTGTCCTACTTTCCCAAAAATATATAAAACTTCCTACTGTTACAGTATTTTGTTTATAGCTCGGTAATAAACAGACGTAAATTGACAAAAATAAACACAAAGGTGCAAAATCAAACCCTTTTTAACTATTGTTAATCAAATTTGTCATACTTTGTCACAAAACTTTTAAATTTAAATTTTTGTCACTACTACTCAATATAAACCTTTAACCCAAAAAATCACAATGATTAACAAAACTAACCTTCAAAAAGACCTAATAAGAGTAAAAAACCTTCAAAATGTCATCTCTAATGTTGTATGCAAATTTTGTCAAAAATTTTCGTACCTAATGAAAATTGCGACTCATCCGCCGATCTTACTCATGATTATTATTTTGCGATCGAAACAATGAAAAAAACGGTGGCATGATTCAGAAGAACGGCACACGATGTTTTATACTGTTTTACCTTGAAAATCTACACAAAACCGCAATTTTAAAAAAAAACAAAAGTTTGTTACCTAAAATTTTTTATCTGTTTTTATCAATTATTTTTCAAAAACTGCCGAAACGTATATTTATACAGCTGCAAAACAATTTAAAATAAACTTTTTCATACCTAAATTAAATAAAATGCTTCAAAAATGAAGTTTTGTTACCTAAAAATTCAAAAAATCTAAACAAATTCCCAGATTGTTACCTAAAATCGTTGAAAAACAAACAATAAAACTTTAAAACCAACCTTTCTGGACATTGATACTTGAACACAGATGCTATCCTCGACGATTGTGTCACTGAAGCTTCGATTATGGCCAGAAAAAGCGAAAAAATGGCCAAAAATTTGATTTTCGGCTTCATTTTCTGCGGTTTTTCGACGAAAAACACTTTCCTTGGGTTATTATGGCCACATTAAATGTTATATTAATCTGAAATGTCGAAAAAATTATTCTGTTTAATTCTCTTTAAAATGTTGTACAATTCGCGTTGAAACAATCACGGTAATGTTATGATATAAGCAAAAACATGAAAGGCGTCAAATGAGCAAGTGTAATATAAGTTAGTGGGCAAATCTTATCAACAGTGACCATCCGAATAGTCGAATACTCATGATAACACGCTTTTGGAACTCGTAAAAACTGATAGCAAATTAGGGTTCACAAATAAACACCATATTTGAATGTGGCGCCAAAAATAAAAGGGAAAAGTGATTGCACCGTGCAAAGGAATTGGAAGGAGAGAAGAGACTGCACCGTGCAGTCTAATAAAGAAAAAAAACTGCACGGTGCAAAAACTATTTAAGACTGCACGGTGCAGAAAGCATAAAAATGGATGCACAGTGCAAAATATATAAAAATGACTGCATAGTGCAAAAAACATAAAAACGAATGCACCGTGCAAAGCCCAAAATCGCTTGCACCGTGCAAAAAAAATACGAATCCAGTTACATTATGTAAAAAACAAGTAAAAGTAATGTAAATATTGCCGGAAAACGTAAAAAACGGGATATTCGAGGAGAAAGTAAACAGTAATATATATCTATACATACGACTATAAACGGGATATTAATAATATCTGTCACCCAAATAACAAAGATTAAAAATAATGTCATTATTGTTGTTCGGGATGACAAAAATAATTTTTTGGTGGCTAAAATGGCATTTTTATGTCATGGGAAGCTTGAAAATGGCAAAAATGTTTAAAAAGTCGAGAAAAAAAATTTAAATTGGAAAATTTTTTTTTGAAATTTTGTGAAATTTTGCCATAAAATGACATTTTAGGTCAAAAGATAACATTTTAAGCAAAAAACAAGACATAGCCAACATGTCAAAAATGGCAAAAAACATCAAAAACTAAAAGTTTAAATTAAAAAGTCCCCCAAAATTCATAAATGTATTCCATTCTTTATTATACATATTTGTGTCCAAGACGCATATAATTCTAATCCGAGAGGTATTTTACGCCCTCCCCCCCCCTCTTAAAGCCCCGCCCACTTTCTTGGTCACTCCAAAAAAGCACTTTAATGAGGGTGTAAAGAAACTCTCGGCTCTTCCGCCGAGATTCTCCAAAAACATATTGGCCATGTTTTTGGAGAATCTTAAAGAAAAATCCCCTCAAGGCTTTTTTTTGGAGGATTTCAGTTTTAAACCAAGCTTTATAAGTTATAGAAAGATGAGTTTTAAGGTTTAAAAAAATATAGATATTGATATAAACGTTGATTTTTTAGAAAACATAATGAAAAAATAGTCATGAAATGTAAATCAAGTGAAATTTAAGGCAATTATTCAAATACTATAAGAAACATAATTTCAAAAGCTTATAAAGTTCAATTAAGCCTACGCAAAATTAAGCCTAGAAGAACCAATAAAATCCGTAAAAGTAGAAACTCAACGCCAAATAAAATGCGACAACTTATGAACCAAAATATTAAAAAATTTGAACAATTCTAACAAGAGTTATACGTAAAAATTGCGCCAGCTTCTTCTTGAAAAATATTATAATTTTTTTTAATTTCTAAAAACTCACAAATTGATTTAAAAAATGTATAAAAATACAATTTTTGTAAAATACAAACAGTTCTATAAGCATAAAGTTTTTAAAAAATTATAAAATAGCAGTAAAAGTAAAAAAGAGTATGGCAAAGTTTGAACATAACGAGGATTCACAACAGAAGCGGCTGTAAACAAAGTTTTCGCCGGTTTTACACGCCTTATGCAAATTAAAAAAGCAAAAACTTTCTGAAAAACAGTGATTTTAATAAAATTTTTTGAAACAATACTTTTAAAAAAAATTCCTGTTAAGTACCCTTCTTTAAAAAATTTAAAAAGTGCCCCTCCCCTACTACAATATTTATACTTAGAAACTCCAGTATAACAAGCTCCTTTATAGCAAACTCCTGTACAGCGAAGCCCTCTATTCCGAAAAACTCCAGCACTTTCAGCCAGTACTTCACAGTGCATTTAAAACCCCTGTAAAACAAAAAGATTATACAGGGCTTCCACTATATTGGTATTACCTGACCAAAAAACATGTAAAAAATGAAAAATAAAGTATGACAAGTATAACGAAAATAAAAATATGACTTTTTGTGAGTGAACAAGTTGTTAATTTGCGTGTCTTCGATTAATAACCGCAAATATTTGCGCGATTTTCCACTCATTTTACCACACTTTGTTAATCCGCGTGTTGCTGACGCCTTTTGCCCGGAACAAGGTAAACAACCGGGGTTAAGGCGGGGTAAAAGTTAGAGAATTACAAAAATCAAGTTTTTATTTTCTTAGGCTTATACTTGAAAACTAATTCTTGTATTTTAGGCTTACTATTAACAAATAAAATTCAAATCACGTTAGCACAACTAAATTTAGACAAAACAGTACCAATGGTACCAAATGACCAAAAACTTAATACTTTTTCCAAATTTAAAACAGTACTGCTTTCAAAATGTCATAAAAATAATTTTTTTATTTTCGCTTCCCTAATTTGCATAAGGCGTGTAAAACTAGCGTAAACTTTGTTTACAGCCGCTTCTGTTGAGAATTCTCGTTATATTTAGGGTTTGTCACACTTTTATTACTTTTACTGTGAACGCTTATGTAAAAAAAGTTTAGAAATGTCCCAAAATGGCATCATAAAAAGTTTAAAACTATCAAAAAATTTTCAAAAATAGGCAAAAAAATAAAAAAAATGGAAAATTATATTGTGATGACTATTGCCAATTATAACGTAAGTAAACACAAAAAATCGAGCTGAACTTGGAAATATTGATCAACATGTCATAAATAACATAAAAATAGTAAATTCAAAATAAAAATTTGAAAAAATAGACCAAAAATTGAAAAAAGTGTAATATTATGTTGTAGTACCTCATGTCTAGTATAATATCAGGAAAATAAAAAAATGTATAATAAAATAGATGAAAAAACAAAATAATGTCAGAAATAGCAATAAGCATCTAAATTTAAACAAAAAATTTTTGAAAATCAACAAAAAATGCAAAAAAAGGTAAAGGTATGTTATCCTACCTAATGTCAAGTATAATATCACTAAAAAGAAGAAATGTATGATAAAGTGTCTGAGAAGAAAAAAAATGTCAGAAATAGCCCTAGGCATCTAAATTGAATATAAAAAGTTAAAAAATTAACCAAAAAAATAAAAAAAACACAAATATATCTTATCCTACCTAGTGTCAAGTGTAATATCAGTCAAAATGAAAAATAAATTTTAAAATACCAAAAAAGTTAAAAAGAGTGCCAGAAATTAGCCTAAGGCACCTAAATCCCATCAAAAAATTTTTAAAAATGTTAAAAATTTCAAAAAATCATAAAAAATATAAAATATTGTCATTAGCCCTCGTACCTATCACAACATCCAAATACCCACCTCGCCGCTTTAAATAAACCAAAAGTAATTAACATAGAAGAACAGGTAACAAATTGCCCTCTTGGAACCGAATGTTTGCGGGTTGGAATACCCAAAACATTTCGCTCAATTCGTTTAGACTGACTCATCCGAACAAAATCCAAGAATCAGATCAAGACAGCTGTTCCTAGAGGAGGGAAAGGACTCGGATCAAAGTGATGGCTACTCCAGAGGTCCATAAAGTCTCTCGGGGTGTCGCATTTTCCACAATATTTGCAAACTTTAGCGGCCGCAGGCTGCGGTTTGCTTTCTGCAGCCTGCGGATTTCTGAGTTTGTGTTTGGCAAAGTGCGCCCTGAGAAAAACAAAAATTTGGAAATAACATAAATTATATATAAAAACTCCATTTTTCAAAAAAAAATTTTTTTAATTGGCAAAAAAAATTTTAAATTTAAAATTTAATTTTTTTCAAAAATTCAAAAATGCCATTTTAAATTCGAAAAAAACGGACATATGGCCAAAAACCTTCAGTATCCAATAAAAGAGCACAATAAGACATTATCATGCTGATTGGGCACCATAAAATGTTTAAAACGGCCCGTGCCTCATAAAATCGCCGGAGGCAAGTTTTAAAACTTCTTGGTTGAAACGTCTTAAAGATGTAAAATACGTCTTTTTAAACCAGTAATTTTGAATTTTAATTTATAATCATCATTAATTTCATAATAATGTTGGTTTGAACCAGAGTTGAAAAAAAAATAGTACTAGTACTATATAGTACAAAACAATTTTTTGCAATTTTTGATAACTTTTATGCCAAAATTTAACAGATAATCAATAAAAAATTTTTATAAAACTTTAAAAAATTAAAAAAAGTTCAAAAAAGTTACTTAAAATCTGAAATTAAAGCCGTTTGAACGCCGAAAACCGTCGAAAAACAGCTCGTTTCCAAGCATTTAAATGCCCCTAATTTATCAACCTTTTGCGTCGAAAACGAATAAAAATAAGAAAACGTTGGCCAAAGGGTTTCTTAACGCGTTTCCAATAAGATTTTTGATGTATTTTTGGAGACTTTACTAACTTTTGTTCAATGTGTAAAGCATTGACTGTTTTGGAACATTTACCCATTGGGCTACCTTCAGCCTTCTTTTCTTTAAAAAGTCACAATGAAAAAATGAAAAGAACTTTTTCAAAAATATTTTAAGACAAACACAACAAGACTCTACAGTATCTACCTGTACCATAAAACCACATTTTCAATCCATCCCAAGCCCAATCTAATCAAAAATAGCAATATCTAACCATTGGCTTACTTTCAGCATTCTTTCTTAAAAACGTCGAATTGAAAAAACGGCAAAAACTTTTTCAAAAATATTTTACCCCAAACACCACAAGACTCTACAGTATCTAACCATTTCAAAACATCAAATTTTAAATCCATCCCAAGCCCTGTCTAGCCAAAAACTCCCCTCAACACCCCCAAAACCCAAACGGTCACTCTCC